GTTGGCCTAACCCTAGGGCGCAGGGAATAAGGCATTACTGTCTCATTCCTAATGCGACTGCGCACAGCAGGTGTCTTTTGAGCAGCACCGGGCTCTTTGGTTTTAACAGTATTTCGACCGTATCGGATAATGCGCCGGCGGTCACAGTCAACCGTTGGGCGATCGGAGTGTGCGGTTTTTAGGGCCGACCTTTTCTAGCCCGTCCTTCCTCGGAGGAAGGCAGCATCGCTGCTTCCATAAATATGGACATGCTGGTCGCCTGGGGGAAACGCCTTACTGCCTTCACACTCCTGTCGCAGAAGACAGTACTTTACCCCCAGACCGCCTCGTAGTACGGGGTCTCGCTGCTCTTGGTCTGGCTGCTCCCCTTTGGCCTTCCTGGCATGGTTGCACCTTGTGGAACGAATTTCCAGCCACTGTAGCCCGCGGGATCATTGCAGCGCTGAAGCCCGACCACCACGTCAAGGTGGCAGCTTTAGGTCGGGTTGGGTTATTTATTTATTTATTTAGTTTAGTTATTTATTTAGTTTAGTTATTTAGTTAGTCTGCTGTGGGAAATGGAATGGTATGATTCTGGCCTCCCAACGAACTATCTAGTTAAACGAGTCAATCTTTGCTCAGTGTCCTTTCGTCATTCTCAGAGGGAGAGATTAAGTATTTTTGCTGCATATTTCAAATTTAATTTGCATTACGCAATATTCCTTCGTTCGCCTTTGTCAGCTGCACTAACGCTTATCTCAGGTCAGAGCGCTACCTAAAGCTTGAAAAATTGTTTTTCATTCACGTGAACGCCTGGTGCACAAACAGCTTCCAGGTATTCACACGTTTCGCGGTGAGATGGCTCAGTGGTGAGGGCGCTAATTTACTGACCGGAATGTCTGTGGTTCGGGCCCGACCTCTGCACGTCGACTTTCCTGTCTAGGCTTAAGTAACCTGGCAGTATCTCAGTCCCCATGCTAACTTCGGGTGGCATGGCAGCCAGTCACCGGAAGGGTTTTACAGCGGAGCGATGTATTGTTTTAGTATCATTTATTGTTAACGCTTCGAATATTCTTACAGCCCAAGTCAAGAAGTTTATGACCAACAACAAGGGTTACCTGTCACAGCCTGACGACGTTTTCAGACCTGTTTGTTTCCTAGCAACCCTTTGTGCTACCACCAGCATCACTTTTGAATTCTAAATGATTGTATCTTGTAAACTGGTATCCTTTTGAGTTACACTTACCTCTGTAACTCGCGTAATTCTATGGGGACAGCACATGTTGCACTTACATCCGCTTCATTTGCCCTGGGCAGGGTCTCTGTGTACCTCTGTGATGGCTAATTTCTTTCTAATCGGTCGAGCACAATTTGGGAATATACGTCGATCCTCAGTCAGTAGACTCTATCCCCTCCTATTCCAGCCTTTTCCCACCCTTGCTCAGGCGAGGCAACGTGTGGAGCAGTCTACCAATTTACTGTACCCCCTGCTGTCAGACTACACACTGCGAGAATCCACTCTGCGAGTCAAACGAATCATAAGTTGTGCGTGCGGTCAGGTGAGTTGAACTGATTCTATACGGCAGGCTTATGTTTGTTGAGAGAAAATGCGTCTCTGGACGACTTACACATACATATGGTTTGCAAGTTAGTAGGGAAGAAAGTGGAGTCACCTTGCAGGCGTTTGATGCGAAAACCCGAGCTCCTTCTTTCCATAGAGTCCATCAGATAAACATCGGATCCTCTTTTTTCTGCATAAGAATGGTTATTTGGTTACGCAGTATTTTGAACTGTATCCGGTTTGTCATCCCAACAAAAGGAGTTCCCATGGTTCCAGTGCTTCGGACATCTTAATTACACGTTTTTGAAAACTGAAATCGTAGCAAACCACTTGATATAGGTAGCATTCTTATATCGGTGTATTAGGTTGTGCATCAATTTGATTTTATTGAGAGACTCAGTCGAATCCTAGCTAAATCTCTCGTTCTATTTGATCCAAAATTGTGTGAAATTCGCGAACTACAATTATGTGCACACCAAGGTGGCTTTAACAGGAGACGCAACTGAATCTCGTTTAATTAGTACATAAGATTGACGGAAACTTGGGGACGGCGCTTTCCTGGTGAGTCCCAAGGAGGGCGAAACCGGTCGTGAGCTGGCAGAGCTTTTAGCAACCTTAAGAGTAGTTTCCTTCGGGAGACTACCCATTATTTAATTGACTTATGCTTGCATTTTGCGATGATATTTGTTCACTATAATTTCGTTCAGTCGCTTTGGTTCATGTCGACCAACCTCGGTTCGGCAATTTGATGAGTTCACTTCCATAAGAGCTCACTTTGTGGATGCTCTAAACTTTCGTTTCGGTTTCAAATGCTTTTGCATATCTCACCACCTGTATGATGCTCGGAAGCAGGTGGTTTTAAGTCGTTCATTTAATCAGTCACAAACCCAGTTGCTACGGCAACCGTAGGATTAAAGTAAGGTAGACGCTGTAGGGTTAACCTATAACCATTTTACAGCCAGTTTGTCCTTCAGATCAACTTGAATCCACGACCAAATGGGTTGGTTGTTTGTCCAAACTGGTTTTACTTTCAAGAGGTGCTTGAAGGTGCTCACCCACGGTGGAACAACTTTGGCTGTCATCATCTAGATTATTCCGGTTTTTCTAAATGGTATCGTCAATTTCAAAGGCCACCGCTTGATTCCGGAAATTCTGTGGATCTGCGACTGAAGTAGGATAATACAACCGACAAAGGCAGTTGCCTATCATAATTGAAGTCCCCTCCTTTATCCAAGTGGACGAACTTCACGGTGTAGAACAAGTCTATGTGAATGAGACTACCTCGGTTTTATTTGAATTTCGCTCATACTGTGAAACAGTCTGCCACATTAAACCTGGTAGACGATCTACCGAACTACAGTTTCACTAACCTAGTGTGAAACTTAGGATGAAGTGACTGAGATCATATTGCACCCATTGATTTACGTCGGCCTACAAGTCACATCCTGAGCCTTGGCGACCTCTTCACACCAATAATCCATGTTTGAGTGGCATTTTTTGACGCAAGTAAGCTTGACTTACCTGTCTATCGTATTGTCTGTCCAGATTACAGGACAAGATGTCAACCATTGCCTGGATAGGTTGCGCTACATCTTGGCATTTCTTGAAAACAAACCTATCCAAGCCACCGGGCTTAGCAGTCGTGGGGGGCAAGATGCTACCCGTATTTCATTGAGTGATCTGCTACCAGGCGATCTTGGTTCCGCCTACGCTTGGCGTTGCTTGTTTTCGGCAACACTCTCACAGGCAGAGTATCAGTTCTTCTTCTGTTACAAGGCCGCAGTGGTATACGCATACATGCTTCTGGGGATATTGGCGCTGCATCCGGAAACTGTGGTATGCTCATCACTTCTATCTCACCCCGTTTCGTTTATGACTGTCTGTTGTGTATATGCCTGCAGTAACAACTCAGGTGTTGTGCAAAGGATAACATTTGTCTCCTTAATTGTCCTGACAACCACACGAATATCGTATTATGCTGTTGTCCCCACTATCAATTCACCCGTTGCCCGAAGGTTCACATAGATTGTACAAAAGGCCAGCTGAGGTTGATCAGCTGGTATGCTGACCTGCCAACGAATACAGACAGATAGTTGTAAGCTCGCCAATCTAACAGACGGTTGCTTTTGCCGGTTTGCATGCGCAACCAGGACGTGACGGTGGGCAGCCGGCTGTCTGATGGCATGCCGATGTAGACCTGAGGGGATAAAATCGGCAGATAAACGTTTGAAGGCCCATTTTGAGTCTTCAGTCATCTCAAGCGTGTTTGGTGGTATAAAAATGATCATCGGAATCAATCATTTGTTTGGCGAAACCCATCGATTCCTTCAGGTTTGAGCCCATTACGGTACCGTGGTAGCACCGCAATCTTCTGGTACCGAGCGCATCGTTTTCCATTAAACTTAAGCTTTGTGTTGTCTTCATCCTTAGGACGGCAATTTTGGGCAGATGTTCGTTAGAAAATGTAGCCAACAGACCTCAGTTACTCACGTTTATCAGATAGACCGATGAGTATATCCTACTAGAGGTTTGCGCCTGCGTGTTGTGTAGGATCACATGGTCGGGGCGATACTGTGGAAACCTTTCTGAATGTTTAACTTGGTTCACAACACTGAGAGACGTTTGCATTCAAGGCTTCTTACGTCTGCATAGGCAGCAGTTTTTCTAGGCTTATAGGCCCTTTCATAACCAAACTTACCTCAAGGCTGTCACAGTATTGAGGTATCGGTGGCCCCTGGTTCGATCTCCGTTCTTCAGCTGACTTTAGACGAATTCTTTGGGAATTCACTTAGGTCAAAGCAGAATGTTTTGAAACCAAGGGACGTAGTCAGTCACAATGCGAGAACTAAGTGCCACTATCGAAACTGACACCATACGGATTAGACACTCGCGGGACAATATTTTGGTCAACAAAGGCTTTGAATGGAATAACTGGCCGCGCAGTCGGTACTTGTTGTTGCGTTGCGTTCAGCTGTAGCACCCTTCCGGTGCCTAGCTGCCATGCCACCCGAAGGAAGCACGAGGGCTGGGATACTGCCAGGTTGCCCACGCCTAGACAGGGAAGTCGAATGGCGGAGGTCGGATTCGAACCACGAACCTTCCGGTCAGTAAATTCGCGCTCTAACCACTTGGACCATCTCGCCACCAGTCGGTATACCATTTTATCATTGACGAAACCCTTCTGACTCGGTGTTTTTTTAAATACAGGCTGAACCAATCGGGCCCAGGTCACATCGTTGTTTCACCTCTGTATCAATTTCGAACTCAATTACATAGGTGCATAGTTCGCACTCGGACATTTGCCACAGTATGATTGATTCTCAAATTTGGCAGAGCAGCAACGGTTCAGTGCTAACATCTGGATCGCCTACATCATATTGTGTTCTGCCCCGCGTTGCACTAGGTATTTCTCTATCCTGCCAATGTAAGCATCTCCTCAGCCGCAGCAGAACTCATAGAGGTAGATGGGTTAGCCAGCCAAAGTTCATGTATACGAACGGCGAACCATCTAGTGGTAGGTGTCAGACGTAGCTGGGCTACAGCATAAAGACGCTTTAAGATCTAAACGAGCCTGCTTTTTATGGAATGGGGGTTTTCTGTGTTCCGACTACACCGTGAACCACAGTGGGACACTCTAATACCCGTTTGTTAGCAGAGTTTTCCTCAAAAGTTACTCCTGTTGCTCTAGTCAACGCTGGTTACGTGGTTTCCTCGCCCTGTAAGGTAGTCTACACCAGCGAGCACTTACAAGCTGTGTGGGGTATAACTCGATAATTGTAAGTTCTGACAGCACCATGTGTTTCTGCGGTAGGTAGAACGTTGTAGGGACCCTTTGGTACGTCTACAAATAAATAGATCCAAAAACGGTCAACTTCCGTTCGGTTCAAACTCAGATGTAACACAGCGGTTAGGATAAGTGGAATTAAAAACGCCCAATAGGGGCTGCAAATGCCCTATATTAGTACTAACGAAATGCCATCAGAAAATCGCTTATAACACATTTTGAGATTTCACTAGCAGCCCTTTATTCACTCATCCCATAATGATATCCGCTAATGTTGGGCTGGAAAAAAAGCTAATCTATGTACTCGTCCCTCAAATTGAATCCAACATTGTCTGCACGGAGTAAAGTCATATCTCTACTGTAGATCCATACTATGATTGAGAAGAAAGTCAATCAATGAGCGTCTTTTCAGCATTATTTCCATTTTCTGTCTGCATAAATCGCATGTTTTCCTCCCGCTGCTGAACGGAGTTAGGTGAGGGACAATACTTTGGATATATATATATATTCCTGGGCGAACTGCAAATATTTTGCACCTCGTGCTTCTCATAGGCTGTACAACTAATAGATACCAAACGGTCGTCATCCTGCAAAAAGATTCCTTGTAGATGTTGGACCCTCATTTCAACTCTACTGAGCATGCCTACTTAGTTATATTTTGATATGCATTGTTTAGGTTCGGCGAACCTCACTCGTCCAAGTTGCCTCATCAGAGCAGTCGTTGTTTGTAGCTTTACACTACATATTTCATACAGAAACCAGTGCTATGCTTCGCAATGTTCCGAATGGTACTATGGACGTCAGCAAACCTATATCGGGGGTTGCAGTGTGATTCCAAGTACCTCTCAGTTGGCTATTTCTGTGCAGCCTCTTGTGCGCCGTTATCATCTTATTGAACGGCACCAGGTGAGGGCTGTCCAGCTGATGAATCAAGGATCGCTTGCTTTGGGAAAACTTTGTCACTTGCTGTTGGTGGATTACTACTGCAATCCCCGCAACTATAAGATGTATTTCATGCTTTAGCGTTGCGTTGTGGAATTTGATAGTCGAAGCAACTGATGCACTGCCGCACTTCCACTTGTAGCCCGAATTCCTCGCCCATGTGTGCCTCGCATGCCCAGTACTGGGTCTTTCTGTGGACAAGGAGGCTTCCAGTACAGTTGAATCGGTGATGCAATCTGGAGATCCTCTTCCGCGCTGGCGGGGCACTTCACGACTTTTTGCGGCTCTGTGTGTGGGTCACCCACCCGCGTTCCTGAAAGCTGATAAGCGACCACCACCTTTCACACCAGCGCTACTCTGGCAGGTCATCGCCGGAATTGCCAATCAGCGGTTCGTGCCATGTGCCACAGCTGAGGTAATTTCTTGTGTTATGCTGCCTATCCTGGATTACCTGTATCATCCGTTCCCCAGTTTATTCAGTACTTTATGTCAAGCAGTTTTTGTTTGCCGTAATATTTGTCAGACGGACCAATGCTTATAGCCAGTACCCTTGAAGAGAGGCCATCCTCCTTGGCTTCGTTATTGCATTGTTGGACAACCAAAGATTTTTTTTATAGATAGAGTTCGTAAGGTTGGCCAACTTCGATGCACTTCGCTCGGCAGGTGTCAGCTAGTGGCCTCTACACAGGCTACTACCTGAAACGTCTTACTTGGCGAGTGGAGACTTTTCACAGTCTTCATATGTCGGTGAAGTGGACTACCAAGACCACCAGACTGAATTGAACACTATGATGAAATGGATTGTTTTCTTTGACCGAAGAATGATAATGGCATAACGTTAGTGATGGGTCTGAGGTATGGTTTCCAACTATTAGAGTAAATTGGTTCGCGCTAGCTCCATACTTAACAATAGTCTTCCTCAAATGATCAATATAGTCTTTCCTGCGGCATCATCTCCCTCGGATCTTTCGATCCAATCACTTCTTGTTTTGACACCCCTTTTCGGATATTGGTGAACCGCCTTCGGAACTCTCGGTTTTCCACACTATAACACTGCCGCAGCGGGCATGGTTGTGACCGAGTTCGGAATGGCATTAAATTATTGGGTCACTTTATGACCCATTTCATATCCCTAGGTGGTAGTTCAGACTGCATCGGGCAGACGCTGAGGTCTTCGACATTCACACTACCAAACGCAGTGAATCTGCGCAGCGCCGTACACGAAGGGTAACTCGGATATCTTGTTCTTTTTAATCAGGTTTGGTTCTGTCAACCGAGGTGATCCTACTCTACTACAACGCTCATTTGGATGTGTTTAGTTGAATACAACCCATTTCGTAGATTTTCTATCGGGTCTCTGTTGGACCATCATCTGTTGTTGACTTGCAAGTAATCAAATGCGGACCATAACCCATTAGGAGTTACGATCCAGTTTTACATGTTTATCACCTACTCTTCATTAGTTCGAACCTTGCTGTACGCTGTGTTGATGATTCTCACTGTCTAGGTGATAATGGCCAGGTATCACTGGATCATTTTGGATTGCATGAGACTACAGCTTACTCTGTCTCCTTATATGTTCCAATCTTTCAGGTACTCCATGGTCTTTTGGAAGTCGGCGGAACCACTCTGATGAGGCTCTACGGACAGCAGTTTGACAAGCTACTGTCAACCATCATCAGCTCCATACAGTCATCTCCCGAGCTCCGTCACTCAAGCCCTGAAATTGCGCTACAGTGCACAATTGAGCTCGCTCAACAGAAGAAGCAGTTCCCACATGAACTTAGCAAAGCTGTCTGATTTGCTTGACAGATCTCCCGCCCCTGTATCTATGTTCAGATTCATCTACTTTACACAGATCATTCAGATTTTCATTTTCTTGTAGACTCTTGGCGACAGTATTCTTGCCATCACGGGTGTGCCAGAACGGAATGAGTGACAAACCCGCCGCAAGAAAACCGAACCTTATCATGATTTGATGGTAGTCTACGCAACTCACTGACCCACTAAACTGTAGTGAAAGTTTTGATCTATCACCAGCAGTTTCTCATGCCAGGTTCGTCACTGGATAGACATCCAACGAACATAGCGTAGGACTGGGAGGTCTATGGGAACTTTTTCCTTAAAAATATAGAGAAACTCTAAGGGTTTCTTACTGCGATTGTTTTTCTTTTGTGTAGCCTGTATTAGTGATGTTAAGCTGCACACACAGTCCTATCGTTGAGTATACGCGCTTCAGCTTCGTCTTTGCGTCGCTACCGTCATATGGGCATATTACATCGGCTAGAATGCGACCGGTCTAGATTTCAGTCTCAACGGGAGAACTGTGGATGATGGAACCATATCTGATATTCCACCGTGGTTGTCGTATATATGAGATGACGTGCAAGTAGAAAGCCGAGACGTTGCTGTCGTTTTCATCTCAACTTTTTCGGAAGCTCAGGAAGAAATGGGTCAACAAATCGCTTTGCGCTTGAAACTTGGGACCTCTGGGGATCGAATTAAGGGCCTTACCTCGGTACTTGAGCTCGCGGTAACCTCGCCAATGACAATGCAACTGTTGGCGCTAGGTGATCTGTCGATGCTGTGGCAACGGGTCACCTGCTTGACTTTCGCACTCGAATCACAGTCTGCATTTGGCGTTCGTGGCTATAGAACTACCATTGGACTTCCTCATCAACGTCATTAGACCCACTGGTATACGTTGTATATGACAATTACGTTATAACCACGTCGGAAGTTTACTTCCCACTCGCGTCCATATTGCTTGAGCTATGAAGCATCGCTCTGATTACTTCAGAACGAGCAACCCTAAAACATACTCCGAGTTCTCCCTTACTAAAGGTAGAATGGATCTCACTCAGTTCAACTTACAGGACAGGTTTCAGGAAAATTGCGCAGTTGATGAGGACCAGTAAGATATTTTTGAAAGGTTTTTGTTGTGTTGTGTGCGGTGGCCGAGCTATAGGTTACGCCTGAACTGAGCCTGCCAGACTACGCGATAGGGAGAAAACAGAGAACTGGGGACACGTTGCATTGCCAGGACAAAACCACAGAGCGTTCTGCGTAAATATATAGGATGACTACTTGGCCAAATATGGTCGCTCACTTGTTCGCTCCGTACAGCCAATGGTGGTGTCCCGTCGTGAACATTCTCAGGCCCACGACGCTGGTCGTGTGTTGCTAAGTCGTTTGGTGAGAGCCGCCAACTCACCTACTTTCCGGACGTGTCGAACCGATGATGACCTTGGGGATGTGTCACTCTCTGCACATGTACTTTTTCTTCTGTCTGGGCGCGCCCTGACAGTTTTTAAAAAGGCTTTGGAGTTGCTAAGTTCGACGAGTGAACGTGTTGATCCCCTGTCGGACGATGTTTCGAAATCCACATGTTTTCAGTAGAAATACTTAAGGCGATTGTGTCATTTCCGGTTGCGTCTTTTACTGCAAGGGATCCTGCATGTAGACCGACGATGGGGATGATTTGCGAGATACGCCGAAAGCAGTAAAAGTTGTTTGGGACGCTAACTCTTTACTATGAGGTCAGTTACGCGCAACTGCTATCAGATGTCTTCCTGGATTCCCGAAGGCCTTTTTGCCATCGAGATATACATGCGGGGCCACTGCCTCAAGGTCTTAGCCCGATGTATATGGCGTTGGAACAACTTTTAAGGATGCATCATAGTGGGTGAGAGGCCAATCGATGCCCAGCGCACGTTTGACAATCGTAGACTCATTGGCATTGTGCGGAATGTACTTAATGGTCATCCAGTTAAGTGGGTCTCGGAGCTCCCGTATAGCCGACAAGAGCTAGTTGTGCTGGCCAAAGAAACGGACGAATCATTTGAAGGATCCCACACCTGCAGGTGCTGTAATGCGCTTGAAGTTTTCAGTGTTTGCGGTCCGGTCAGAAGCCGTACTCGTCAGTGACGAAACCAAGATGCCTTGTCAAGCGCCCTAAGGACGCGTATTTTTCGGCACAGTCTGAAGTAATGCTCTCGAATACGTTCAGCTGGGCACTCCGGATGCCGCTACCATTCGTCGGGGTACCGATGGAGCTATCCAGATAAGCGGCAAAACCGGAAGCATCCCTCGGCATCGCATCCATGAATGGTTTAAATATAACTGATGTTGTCCTTGCACCAAAATGGAATCGAGCATATTGAAACAGGCTGCAGTGAGCATTGAAGGCCGAAGGTTGTCAGGATTTCTTTTCGAATTCAACCTGCAGGTGTAGTGGTCTGGCTACCCAATAAGTTAGTTTACCAGGAGTGTGTGGCAAAGAAATAAAAATGATTACGCTAGGTTGGGTATACAAAAATAAAGAGATCAGCCGGAACAAACTCACTAACAATTGTTCCCTTTAAAGTAGTTCGGTCAGCGAATAAACAATAATCCAATTATGTTGGTCTAGAGGTCTTCTTCTGAACAGTTCCCACATAGATTCCGAAGATGTCTGAAATGTTTTGGTACCAGAGTTAGTACGAGACTCGCGAATGACCGCTGCAAGCGCGAGCGAAATCATGAGAGTGGAAGCACGTGACCACGCTCGTATTCCGTGAAATTGTACAAGTGCGCGTTTTTGTAGTTTTTCGTATTCAAACAAAAAAACGATTATGCAATTGATGAAATACGTAGTGTTATAATGGAAGTAAGATAAAGGTACAAAACGCCACACAGGTAAGCCTCAGCAAAACCGGTATTCGCAGAAGATTTGTCCATATTCTGTTTTGCAAACGGTGCCTTTGGAAGGGGCAGTTTATCGGATCTCTAACGTAGTGCTGAGAGTAGCTAAGAAGTTTGAACTCAGTAGGATGGTCTCGTTAGCCATGGTGTCGGACCATGCCGAGCAGCTGGCTGTTTGAACAGCGTCCGTGGTCGATCTAGTTCCTGGCCAATAGTGGGCAAAACTATATACGACACTGCGCTTCGGCTGTACAATTGACCTGGCATCGGGGAGGGTGCACAGTTTGACTTCCACCATTGTGCGCTTTTCAGTTCTATCTGTGAAGATTGGTATATGGTGTTGCAGGAGTTTCTCGTCTGAACGCTTCGAAAACGGTTTGTTCAAAGGCACCCTCAGGAGCTATGCGTCTGAGGCTGCGAATATAATGAATGGGCTTTCCCAGTAGATTCAGCTTACAAGTCCAATTTGATGTCAATATATCAAGTTTGGATCCTGGTATTTGATGGCTACTGGCGTGAACCATCGAGCTCCTGGATGGTGTGGAACGTTCTACCTCAACAACCAACACAAGCATTCTTCAGAAAGCCTTGCGGGCTTAGTGTTCATTCAGTTTAACGTGCGGCTTACCAATTGGTTCCCGCGTTTGTTCACCGAGTTGCGTGGTGTCGGAACCGATCGTTTCCCCGCTTTTCTAAAAACAAGAAGTAGAGTGGCACTGACATGCGCCGTGACGAAATCTCTTGGCCCGCGAAATCGAATTTGATTGTCGTCGTTTCCGAGGCCGCACAATGGAGTTGAATTCTAGAAAGCTACGACGCGTCCTGATTGAGTAAAACGGACCGACATTTAGGCTGATAACACCACTTCAAACTTTTGTGCCCCAATTGGTCATTTGTACAACGACCGAAGCAATTGGGAATGGAAATTTATTACGGAGTCCAGACTCGAACCGCGGACTGGTGAACCGGTCGTTTGCAAGCCACAAGTCACAAGTCGCCACGTCATCAAACCAGTGAACTTTGTTGGTGGAAACTAGAGCTATTTGGACCAATCGCATGTTCGGGTTTGACCTGTGCATTAACGGGCTCTCTTGACACTGGCTGCAAATGTTTAGAAATGCGTTGTCTGGCTGATGAGCTCCAATTCCATTTCATCCAACCGCGTTTTTGCTGCTGCGATTATTTAAAGAGGCTGGATAAACGTTATATAGATCTTTGGTTCCTGTTCTCGAATCGTGATAACCGCAATGCCTCAGCCCAGCTGCCGTCAGCGTTTTCAACAATTGGCCATCAGGGGCGCACAAAGTGCGCTGAAATCACGAAACCAGACCAAGAATGCGTCGTATTTCGAACGTCTGCAGTGATATTCTTGAAATTCTGGCGCCTTCTGGACGCGCCATTGACAATTGGCTTTCGGCGAACACTGAATCATGACTGGGTGTCGGGAAAACATTTTTGTCAATTGGAGCTCGCCTTGATCCCACGCTGTCCAGCGGTCCGAAATTCTGACCATCAAAATGCAGAATAGGCCACAACAGCACTCAAATTCGAGCGGTAATCTGGTGCGATGTTTCGTCTAACAGATCGATAAATTCTTCGCTTAGCTATGTGGACTGTAGACGATTTTGAAAACACTAAGCTCACAGCCTTCCGTAGTTTGGAATGGAAATGCACAGCAGACCAGAGCAAGCCAGCTACGAGAATTGCGTTCGAATTTGGACCACGCAGCACTTTTAAAGCAGCAAATGCTCTCGGCTGTGGCTATCTTCGAAAAGAAATATAGAGTGAGTTGCGACCGCAGGTGAGATAACATCGCCACTAATTTGAACTGACAGCCATTCGTCTACTATGACTACCTTCTACTTCCCTCTAGTTTTCAAGATAGAGCTCCAGTGCTCCAAGTTCATGAAGCTGTGTTGAAACTGCCTTTGACAAGAGAAGTAAGCCACTTAGTGGAACTCGGAGAATGTGTACAATTTAGCATGCTATTTATTTAGTAATGTGATTTTTCACATGAGAGAAATCATGCGACAGACCATTCCCTTGAGGAGCGCACCGAGATGACTGATTCCGGAGGATGACATATTCGCTAGTGACACGGATGTTGAGCCCATTATTTTTTTGGCTTCAATGGACGGACGGGCCAGTAGCGAAAGAATCAACATTTGGAAGAAGTTTCAGGATACGCAAATGCGCAGGTACTTGACGCTATGGTGCTATGATCTGCCTCTCCTTCATCTGTGATATGCTCGCTGAAATTATTGCGCTTTGTAGCAGATGCTGAGAAAACACCGACCGTTGGGAGCACTCGACTCTAACGGCCCGGTTTGCTTGCTTTGATAAAAAGGATAGGCTTGAGACTGTGCGAGATTAACACCTGGGAAAAGAAGGTTGGTGTTTTTACATCGAAAGTGCGGAAAATATCAAACACATGTTCAGCGCACCGCATAATAAGTTAACCCAACTACGAAGGACGAAAGGTGCATGTCTTCCAGATTTGATGCGCTAAGGGGATCCTGGGAGTGCACGCGCATCGTAAGTAACCTGGGGAGCGCGGTCGATCCATAAATTGACGGTGAGAACTGTGTATGAGCTAGCTCTTTCCAACAAAATACCTGCGATCTGTTAATTCTGTTATTTTTAGGTCGGCCTCCAGGTTCGCCTACAAACAGCTTTTGAAGAGGGAGTGGAGATATAATGATAGGCTTGTTACTCAACTGGTAGGGGAAATGTCAACCGATGTCCAGCTACGGTTCCTATGCAAAGCACGATGGATGCTAAAATGCATGCGGCTTCTTCTGCTTGTTCTTCGTAGTGGCTATGTAGCTATCTCTTTATCCACACATATGACAGTGAAGCCCACCGCCACTCACTAAATCACGAAACTCGCCTTTTTCTCATGCTAACAAATCACGACACACGAGCGTGACCCATCTTACATTGACTGTTTGCCGTCTAGGAGTTAACAACAAGTCACGTGCTGACACACTCACTCACGCAAACATACGTGCAAAGCAACCAATGTCTGGCCCTCAGATACAAGGTCTACACCTTCCTTATCACAGGTGGCATGGGTGCCGGATGTCCGATTGTGTATCACATGCATAAACCGCCTACCTTGATCTAAAATGTGGGTGCACAATATCGAGCGAATTCTTGCGCCATGAACAAACTGGCCGCGCAAATGCAAGTGGCCAGAGTCTTGTTCGGTTGTGACGCCATTTAGTGCTGTTTTCACATTTCCAAGACTGTCAGGAAGAACGTCAGTGTGTCAGTTGGGTTGATTCAGATATCACTATCACTGACGTCGATTGCATGTAGATTGTTGATTAGGCATCGTGAACCCCTAGCTGCATGTTAGTCACGTGCGTCAGCTACGTTCTTCCGGCTTCCCGCAATATTCGACGACAATGTCATCCTGGCATGCTTCACCAGTTTAACTGCAGGGTGCCTCTGCAGTTAACCACAAAACTTGACCTACGGACATAGGATATCATGTTTTTCATGCCTTAGGTTCTTCAAGACCTCGCACAGTTTATCCGAAAATAGTGAATGTTTATGGCGGTGATAACTCAGAATACCGATTCTCGCAAAAAATTAGTTAAAGGAATGGCACTCCCGTATATGTTGCGTCCACGACCACACTGTAGACTCCTCAAAACTCAGTGAATTATATCAACGGCATGAATACCCACAGCTTTAATACATTGTAGGCGATTCACGTTTTACCGCTATTCGCGATATCATATTTTATTAAGCACCGATTTTCCAGAAGTATTGAAAGATGACCTTCAAGATTCGAGCACTCAAAGATGCCACTAATGCGGAGAGTTTCCAGAAAAGTGCAATAAACATAGCTGTTCCTCGCTATGAAAGGGTATCTGAAAAACTCGTAGAAGCTGCCAGGCAGTGGTCGTTGGACTGGCACCTTCCTCTGAATGATGAAAAGTGCGTCCATGTGTAGTTTGGAGGGGATTCACCGAATGCCTTTGTTATGCATGGTGGAAAGGGACCAGAAAACATCATGAGGATAGATGCCAAAAAACGATTTGGTTATCTGGGTCTCCTCAAACTTGTCCTTCTCACTACACCATGAGAAATCGGCCCAGAAGGCTTTCGCCATTTTACGGATGATCCGACGCACCTTCTCCCGTATTGCTCGCATGGACTTCCAAGTACTCTATGGGGCCTACGTCAGACCGCTCCTGGAGTACGCCAACCAAGTTGTCTACTCAGGACGTACGAAAGACGTCATCCTCATTGAGCGTGTCCAGCGGGCCGCCACTAGAATGGTTGCCGGCCTCAAATCCGTGGACTACGAAACGCGTCTCGCGATGCTTGATCTCTTTCCCCTGGAGTACCGTCGCCTCCGAGGGGACCTAATTCTTACTTACGCCCTGTTTGAACAAAGCTTGGCAAACAGGTTTTTTACCGTTGACCCAGCAAACACCCGGCGGGGACATAGTAAGAAAATCTTCAAGCTCAGGGCACACACATTCATTAGACAAAACTTTTTTTCATTTCGGGTAGTAGCTGCGTGGAATGACCTTCCTCCGACGGTTGTACACGCTCCTTCTCGAACCCAATTTAAAGCACTATTAGACATTTATTTATGCGAATCCTCGCGCTGGCGAGCATACTGCCCCGCGCTGAGAACATAAAGAGCAGTGCTACACCCTTTTTTCACTTGTGCCTTTCAGGTGAACGACAGCCACTGACCGACAAGAACAAAACCGACCCGGGAAACTTGGGCAAAAGCCTCGATCCTGTGTATCAATCCGTGAATCCGTGAATCTCGAGAAATCAATTCCATTTTGCGACCATCAAGAGTCTAAATATTAGCAGATAGTACACAAAGTTTAACAGATTCGATTTGAACACATAACTGGCGGAGTGCGGAAGGATGTCAGCTGCCCCCCCCCCCCCCCCCCCCGAAATTCCTCTCATGGCTCCCGATGTCCATGAACACCTTGCCTCTGAATTTATTCGATTTGAACTATTACTGTTGTTTTTACGGTCAGTTTGTGGCGCGCGCTTCCACTTTCGCCGTGCACGCTCGTTTAGAGGCTATGGATCGCGTAAAGCAGTCAGTTCAAGTATTTGGACGAAAGGTACGTTACCTGCGGTTATTGTGTCAACTTAAACTAGAAAACTGCAACGGCGGTTGCCCATTGCAAATTGGGCTCAGGCATCATCCGCGTAAACGGACGGCCAATTGAGGCGCTAGAACCTAAACCTTTGTTGCCGAAACTCCTCGAGCCGATTTTGCTTATTGGTCGCGACAGGTTTGCTTGTCTTGATATTCGTGTACGGGTGAGCGGCGGTGGTCGTGTTGCTCAGATCTATGCGATCAGACAGGCTCTAGCCAAATCAGTGGTTGCATTTCACCAGAAGTATGTCGATGAGACATCCAAGAACATTATGAAAGAGAAACTGGTTCAGTATGATCGTAGCCTTTTGGTTGCCGATCCCAGGCGTTGTGAACCAAAGAAGTTTGGTGGCCCAGGTGCACGAGCTCGATACCAGAAATCCTATCGTTAACTCATGGTTTGTTAATAAAATTCTTGGCTTCTGGAAGTGGACTTGTCTTCTCCTGATGGTCAGCTGTTTCCCTTCCTGGGATGAACTCACCACTTATGTTCTAAGTTTAATACCTTAGCGTTCTGGCCTCTTGTACTGCTGCGTCTTCGTATTTTTTGCATTGGTTAGTTCAACGATGAGGCGAGGACTTTCCCTTCACTTAGCTTAGCGGCAGATATCCAGCTGCTTGTCAGAATCTCGGTAATGGTGTTCTTTTAATAGGAAATGGTCTGGAATACATGAAATCTAGGGTGTTCCCGATTAGAAGAGTGCATGTCTCTACGGGACGCTTTTCGTGTAAGACGCCTGACCATGTTTTGGGCCCACAGTCGGGATCATTTCCTTCCTTTCGCATGCGTAGCGGCAGTCGTGCTGTTTCCCCCCGAATTTGGACGGGATGTCGTCGGCCCCAATAGACGACACCATTCTGCAATGATCAGCGGCGACACCCCATAGCATCACAAAACTCCCGGGAGCCTTGTTCCTGTTTCGCGCCGCTTCAGATTGCACCGGGAATAAATGCCTTTCCCCTGCTTAATTCAGCTTCCCGTTGTAACAGTGTCCCGTTATTGGTCCCCGGAAAAGCCCTGGGTTAATTAATATACGCTTCCAGACAAGTAATCTCATCCGAATCGACTGGCTGCCGAACTGGACAAGTACCATAAGGTATGCGGTGTCTGTCATGGGAACTTGGTGGACAGGTGCATCCTTACTACTTATCGATCTCTGTATGGGCCACCGAAACAGCTATCAGCCTGACATAACAGTCGGTCTTGGTTGTTGTGGTGACCCCGCTGGCTAAAGTGTCTGGATCTTTCAGAGTTTGGGTGAATAATGAGTGAATTTAGTTTGTTCACCGAACTTCAAACGATGACTACCCAATCATTCCCAAAATATCTCTGGACCTTCGGTGTCAAGTCATGCCGGGAAGGTTGAATGGGAGGAATTAGCTCCTGTATTCGTGACACTAGCGGCCTGAGAATAAATGAGAGTATTGTTAGCTGCAAATATGATGGTTGCACGCGTGCTGGCACACTGCCATTGCGCCCACACCTAGACAGGAGAGCTATTAGGACCTCAACCAAAGCCCTTGGCTCAAAAGCCTGACCGCAGGGCATCGGTGTCGGATTGGAAGTGCAAGTACATTATCATTTTTACGAAGCACTTCGCCGCACATGTTCCAATCCCCAACCTGGAAGATCAGCAGACTGTTCGCCAAACTTCTAACCACTGACCAACCTGATATGAAGTACTGAGTGTCGCGAGGACACCCCTCAGTATAGCTCAATGGGTCGCCGAGGTACACAAACCACCACATTACGATGACGTCCAGTATATTCGCGACTGAGCTGCTCTTTTCAAGAATGGCGGTGGGCTTCTCAGTCAGTGCTTGTCTAACCAATTTGGATCCATCTGGAAGAAAGAGACCGACCCAGACAACTGGAGTAAATCGACCATTTTCAAAAAGGGTACTCGCAGTGGATGTAATGACCACAAGCGTCAGTTTGACTTCTATTGTATTGAGGCTTACGGCGTCGTTGATGCTTCGTCGTCTTAAGGTAGCACGCGAAAACTTCACTCGTGAAAATCGAGCGGCATTTCGACTGGGCAGAAGCTGCGTTGACCACATCACACTAAATCAGGTGTTAGGGCAACGCCATATGTACAGGTGACGCACAATTTCCCTCAATTTAAGGTTACTTTCGACTCTGTCGATTGGCTAGTGCTGTTAACTACACTCGCTCAGAACTTTGTGAACATAACCCGATTCCTATATTCACGTACTTCTGGGCGTTTCGGAGTGCATGGTGAGCTCTCCAAGAGGTTCTCTGCAAAACCTGGTATCCGACAAAGATGTCCACTCTCTTCATTCTTGTTCAGATTCATCATTGATAAAATAATGAGTCGGACACTGGAAAGTCTTCAAAACTCCAACTTTCAAATTGTTGCGGGAGCCTTGTCGATCTGGAGTATGCAAATAACATCGCCCTCGCCTTGAAAGCCAAAGCGCAGCACAAGTCCCGTGCACTAGACTGACCACCACCATATCATCTTTTTGGCATGCGCCTTGCACCTTTAAAGTGCTTCAGAATGTGGGGTCTTTGAACATCTTCCTAACAATTCAGGGAGTCACTGGAGATTGGATAATTTTTACACACCTCAGAAGTTGTGTAAGCTCTGACGGAAATGTGTGATGAAGTCCGTGCGGGAATCTCAAAGGTTCGAATAACGTTTGCTAATTTGCTTCACTTGTGGGGTCAAACAGGCATCTCACTAGATCTTAGGGGTCGTGTGCACCAGGCTACAATAAAGGCTCTACTGTCGTATGGATGCAAGGCGTGGTCTCAGCGGACAGATGATGTGAGGCGTCTTCAGGTATTTGACCATCGATGTCCCAGAAGCGTGTTTGTTTTGGATGGGCGTCAGCGTGTTAGTACTAAGTGATTAGGAAACGAGTATTTGGTTGTTCAGCAGGTACTTCAATCGGGGAAAACCTCCAGCATTACCGAATACGATGATTCGGTCTTTTGCTACGCATGCCGAAACAGCTTCTGCCTAGACGAGTGTTGTTCTCCGTGCCTCCTTCAGAATGGCACAAACCGCGAGGTGGACAGCACATGACTTGGCAGAAAGGCGTGAAAGAGATCACGAAGAGTTTGGGTGTTGTTAGTGTTGTACGCCTTCCAGGATGGGGTCCCCATGACCCCGCCTGTGCTTGGCTGGAGACATTGCAAGAAGTGGCAGTTGGTCGATGTCAGTTGCACATTGTATCCGTTTTTTTCCAGATTGTCTGACAGCGCTTGGCGGTGTAGGCACCTCAGAGTGTTTGACATAGACCAGCACTAGATCCCCTCCCTAATCCACTCTTTTTCTCTTTTCACTAGCGCTTTAAGTATAATTAGACGACTGGTTGTACGGCAGTGAAACGTCAGTGTCAACACGGATGTTGCTGTCTCTGATGGTGATGATGATGATGGCTGAGTGTAAATTCGCACTGTCTAATGCTTGGTTGGAGTCCTACGAACAGCAGACTGTATGCGAACATGGTGACCGGGTCCCTGAGAATCTGTATCGAACGCCCCCTAATCCTTTCGTCATCTTCGTATGCGCCCCAACACCTTGAAGCAGTGGTATTTTCAAAGACTCATGCGGATATAAAAATTCATGGACATCGTAGTGGTTGGCGATCGATTATGCAGCTACGGAGAATCGATGAGCTTCAGAGCTGCTTCGACGGAGTGTTTGTTTAGGGATGGAGTGGATGGATACTTTGGCAGTCCGGCAAAACTCACAAGTCATCTGATAGACGGATGAAATGGTTTTTGTTTTTGAAAGAAATGTGGCGGTTAGATGGCTCGGTGGGTATTGCGCGAATTTACTGACCGGAAGGTTCGTGTTTCCAACCCGACCTCTTCCGCTCGACTTCCCCTGGCTAGGCATGGGCAACCTGGCAGTATCCCAGCCCTCGTGCTTCCTTCCGGTGGCATGGCAGTTAGGCACCAAAAGGGTGCTACGGGGTAACAGCTCAGCCACTGCTATCCGTCATGAAATCATCATCATCGATAGCATGACATCAGTGTTCAACACCGATGCTTCACTGCCGTACAATCATGACTTATTTGGAAGCCTTATTATAAAGAAAAGAATAAAGGTGGACGGGGAAGGGACTTAGTGCTAGCTTAACACAATCATTCCGAGATGCCTACACCTCCAGACATTCACTCAGGCAGTCTGGACAGAAACTGACAACAAGAACGCCACTGACATCGGTT